CCATGTCCGCCCTCCTTGCACCAATATCGCGTTAAATTACAACTTTACTTATATTGTTTAAGTAAGCGTTTTACTTCAGTTCAATTGGCTTTAACGATGTCATCATGGATGACCGATTGGGCTGAAAAGGGCGGCAGTCTCTTGAACCAGCTGGACAGTCGTGTCGCCAGTTTGTTGAAAAATGATGCGAATGAGGAGGGAAAAAGTCTTCAATATGATGAATTGCGATTGGAATCCCCAACAAAGATCATCGAACCCCCAAAACCCCCCAATGTGCCTTCCGCACCTGTTCGGTATGTTGCCTTTTGAAGGTTTGATTTATAGTCTTCATGATCTTATGAGTTTTGGGCTTTATTTGTAATCTATTATTCATTATTTCCTATTTTGAATGCCTTACTGTTATATTTGAAATTTAAGTTGGAATCGTTTCTCTCTCATCTGCTACTTCTCTTATTATCTTAAAATTAAGTAGACGGAGGAAAGTGAAATAGAAATTTTTTGGAAAGCATGCATTTCTCTGAAGTTCCACCTGTCTCTTAAGAAATTAATTTCATCTGGTGGAAACTGGTTAAGGTTGTCCTTAACTAATGTTTCAACTCGCAGGTGGTTTTATTTTCAGATTTTTTCGTCAACTGTTTCTACTTCTCAAGTTAAATGGGTTTAGAGGGTCAGAACAGTACTTCGCCACCTCATTCTGAGTTTTGAAGTTCTGGGGCTAACATTCTTTCTATAATCGGTATCTACTAGTCTAAGAGATGGTTCCACATTGCTTACAAACTCCGGTCTTCTTTGATAGAATTTGTTCAATTCTTAGCTCAGGATGCCTGTTTTATAACTGTCTTTCAGGGAAGAAGTTAATTCAAGACTAACATCATCTGCACCTTCTAAGGCGGTTCCAATTACAGAGGCATCGGACACCCAGTTATTCGAATTTCTGAATAGTTCTGCCCCAATGGAACAGGCGATAACAGCGTTAAAACCCAATTCCTCTCCACTAGCTGCAGTACACTTGAATTCACTTCAATCAAAACCTGTTGAATCGTCCAAACCTGTGGATGTATCGGAACCTCCGAAAACCGCAACTCTGGTAGCAAAAAATGGCTCGGATGTGGAGATGGAGAACCGCTTATTGCATCAAGAAGTGGCCTCATTGAACCAGGAGATTGCTGAACTGATGAAGCAAAATAAACGAGCCAAAATTGATGCTCAACAGCACTCAAAAGAAGTCAGTGACTTTATTTAAATACATTATTTATTTCTTTATTTCAATTGGCAGGCGTTATGATAGGTATCATTAGCCCTTTAGTTGATTTCGTGCTTCACAGAAAGAGGAACACCAAAGTGACAAAAAGTCGAGAGGGGGGACAGAATAATGATTCACAGACGTAAAAGAGACAGACAGATACAAAGGTAGAAAAAAGGTGAGTACTGTGGAATTAGTAGAATATGAAATGCGTTGGGGTCTTTGTAGTTTGAAGTCAGTAGTCAACTTCCGATTAATAGACTTTTTTGCCGTATACGTTGCCCAGAGTGCACCACGTGGAGGTAAGTCTAAATATACATTGCCCAGGGTGCACCACGGAGGTAAGTCTATTGCACACCCCATGATACCTATCATAACGCCTGCCATTTGAAAGTACGTTGTCCAGGGTGCACCACGTGGAGGTAAGTCTATCGTATTCTTAAGAATAATTGTTTAGAAAACCAGCAAGGGTTGAAAGTTGCCCAGGGTGCACCACGTGGAGGTAAGTCTATCGCACGCTGTCCAGGGTGCACCACGTGGAGGTAAGTCTATCGCACACACCCCTCCGCTTCCAAATAAGATGTTGATAGTGAAGGCATATTTCCAGGGTGCACCACGTGGAGGTAAGTCTATCGCACACCCACTTGGCTCTCCCCTCAAATTTCAACCCTACACGGATGGGCCTATTTAAATACATAATTGTGTACGGTTTATATCCCACATTGACATTCATTTGCTTTCATCGTAATTTGGAAATCGAGTCCCAATTCCCCTTCACTTTGCTAGTAATGCAGAAAGTAGTAGCATTATGATGTGTATCCCATCTTTATTTTGATTTTGCTCAATTAAAAGAAGTCTTTACTGCTCTCAACACATCAACTGAGGAGGTTCGACCCATCTGACAGACCAATCTTAGGGCTGTAATGCCAGAGCACACAATGCGCCCTCTTAAGATCACCTTTTTTAAATTTTTAATTATTTATTTCTATTGACAAAAGTAGTGTGTATAATTGATGAAAGAGTGAATTGAATCTAATTTATGTTACTGTATTAGTCAGTATTCTTAAACATACAGGAATGTGTGGGTGTAAATGTTTAGAAATGCGCTCATTGGGGATACTGCACCTTCATTTCCGCCTTTTTTCCTTCAGATACACGGTCTTCGAGATCAAGTCCAGCATCTGAAAGCGCTCCTTGAAGAGTCAAAGAAAAAAGCCCTTGAACAAGATAATTCCACCTCTTCCAATGGAGAAGTGGCCAAGAGTAATGTCATCGATCTGGAACAGCAGATTGAAAAACTCACCAGAATCCTTGCCTCCACTCGACAAGCTCACGTAACTTTTGATTCCTCTCACGTAATACTTAAATAATTTAAGTAGTTGTCAATTAGCACAATTCATTTTTCAGACTGAGAGTGAGAACAAAGCAAGTGAGGCGCTAAAGCTGGCAGAATTGTCGTCAAGTCGGGCGGAACAGCTTCAACATGAGGTGTCTCGATTGAGACATTCCTTGGCGAGCTACAAGGAGAA